CACCGCTGGATAGATTCATGATTTCCACATCCCACAACCCTCTGGAGATCCACACTGCAACGGCAGGGTAATCTATCGTGGTGTAGTGTAGCTTATAAGATTTCCAAAATCATAATAACCACTCATTGACTCTCCAAATCACTGCTACTACTGTGGTATATTACCAATTATGTAGTAGTAAGTTTATACACCAAACTACTGCCCCACCGCTCCTCACAGCAGCTGTATCACCACTACTGTGGTATATTACAAACTATACAGTACTGCATTTATCCACCAAACAACGACCACCACATAACCACTGCTCCTCTGAAACACTCGTTAAATTACAATTAGCGCTTCCAAAATCATAAATAACTGCTCCATGACCATCACCACCACTGCCAATACTACTGTGATATATTACAAACAATTTAGTACCAAGTTAATCCACCCCACAACCACCCAACCACTACTCCTCTGAAGCAGTCTAGTTAACAATAATTACAATTATAAATTAGTGTTTCTAAAATCACAATAACCACTCCACCACTATACTACTGTGGCATATTACAAACTATTTAGTGCCAAGTTAACCTACCCCACAAACACCACCATCAACCACGTGGCCCAGGGCCACGTGGTTCCCACTATCGTTTTCCCGCCATGTCCAACAATAGAGCGGGCTCTGCCCGCCTCTGCCCCCACCACTAGAGGCCGTTACAGCAGAGGGTATTTGGCCTACTCTTCCACCGCTAACCACTCTAAAAGATTGCTTTTGGGGGGGGGGGGTTACCCATTCTTTACCCCACCAACACAATTTAAGGTACCTTTGCCACCACCCTATTGTTTAAACTGGTGATACCTTATAATAATAACAGAATGCTAAAGTGTGTAATGTACTATGTAAATAATTCATTGCATAGTCTACAAAGTAGTGCATAGATTGCATCGTGTAGGTTACAATCTTTAATACCTTGTGTAGCTTACAATATATAGTATATAATACATTGTGCAGTTTACAATGTATAGTATATAATACAATGTGCAACTTACAATATATGGTATATAATACATTGTGCAGTATAGTGTAATAGTATGTATTATACAATGCATAGTATATAATACATAGTGTAGTACAGTGTGTATTATACAATGTATAGTTTATAATAGTGTAGTATAGTGTATAGTATACAATGTATAGTATATAATACAGTGTGTAGTATAGTGTGTATTATACAATGTATAGTGTATAATACAGTGTAGTATAGTGTATATTATACAATGTATTGCATATAATACATTGTGTATTATACAATGTATAGTGTATAATAGTGTATACTATACAATGTATAGTATATAATACATTGTGTAGTTTACAATGCAAACTGAACATGCTGGAATACATTAAGCGCATGTTTATACTTGTATAATCGATTAGTATAATAACCGAACGTCCCGTTGCATTAATCGATAGATTTATCGACATTCGAAAATAAATGGTCGCATAAACCCTTGACCCGTGTGCTTGGGGAAGTGAATATGTCAAGTTAGTCACTTTTTACATTTATATATTTCGTCTAAGATAATTATAGCGAGGTTGTAACAACAATTCAACACTATTCCACACTCAGTGTGGGCGAGTTTGCTTCCCCCCTTATCGAATTAAAGATTAGAAATCTTTGCGTTCAAGTTTCATCACAAGTCATCCTCTTTCAACTCAATTACTTCCGAACGGAATAAGATTTGGTGAGATTATAATCGCTTAAAGGAGGGCCCCCGATCTCTCTCCCTCGGGTTTAAATAACAAGTTAAAATTGTAATAAATTACATTTAGTTTGAGATTATAATTATTAAGGGGAGTTGTCTCCCTTGGGTTGAACTAATACATGTTGATAAAATAGATATGGTTTGATATTATAATGGCTTAGGAGGACCGCTGTCTCCCTTGAGTTTAATTAATAAGTTATATTTTAATAAATGAGATTAATTTGAGATAATCATTCTTAGGGGGGGGCTTTCCCTTGGGTTTAAATAACAAGTTTAATGTGCATAAACTAGATAAAGTTTGAGATCTTAATTCTTAAGGGACTTTCCTTCTGGGTTTAAGTAAAATGTTACAAAACTAAATTTGGTTTCAGATCAATTCTAAGGCCCCCCCACCTCTCTGGGTTTCAATAATAAGTAAAATGTTAATAAACTAGATTTAGTTGTAGATTACAATTCTCTGGGGGGGGGGGGATCTCCACCCTGGGTTTAAATAAGTAAAATGTTAATTCATTTTTAAGGGATTCTCTTTTTGTTCGGGACAATGGTGGGGCAGAGAATGACATTTTTTTTAGTCACCACTCCTTAAACAATCCGCCTTATTTTTGGTTATCTTTCTTAAAACATCCAACTAAATTAACACAAATCGCGGTAGTAATTCATTACAATGGGCGTAGATTTGGTTTATTTTTAAAGGTCTTCTTAGGTCACCCCTTTTGTGCATTTGCCGGCCACGTTTTGCCACCACACCAACCTCAAAACAAAAAATTGAGAATACTAATTTTAAAATAAAACTAAATTCAACAAATACATTCTTCCCATATTCTTGGTTCTTTGTTGAATCGTCGTTTTTAAAAAAAGCAGACGGTTTTAAAGCTTTAAAAATCGACCAAAACCCCCTACCCCCCCCCCCCACACATACACAAAGTTTTAAGAGCTTTAACTTATTCCACTGGTTGTCCAAACCACCTTGCTACATCATCGACCCAACTTGGTATATGCAAATTTAAAAAAAAAATCACGCATTTACAAAGCGATCTAAAGCGCGTGCCACGCTCTTTCTATTAACACTCGACGTTTCGCTCTTTCCATTAACACTCGACGTTTCAGAACGCGTCCCAAAGGCAGCACACGTTAACATTCAATGCGCGCTCGGGCTCGCTTACGACGTCGTTATCGAGGCTATCGAACAAAAATGCACCAAAAGCATCGACGGTTTTGAGGTAAAGTTAACCGTTTTACTAAACATTTACCTCAGCTCGTCGCTAATTTATCGATTATTTTTTTTCGTTGTTATCGAAGGCCGAGCGCGCGCCGCCGCCGCCGCCACCACCACCACCCACCCATCCACCGCGTGGTCACAATGGCCAAACCCACACTACCACCACCACCACCAACCCCCCTCGCCTATACATTCATTATTTTAAACACCCAACTACCACCCAACAAGAACACGACGATTAATTGACACGCAAAACAAAATGCACCGGGCTAGCGCGTCACCCCACGTCCTTTAAAACACGGTCGGGGCTCGCGAGTAGTTCGTTGTAAATCGTTGTTGTCGTGTTTTTATTATTTTGATGATTCTCTCTCTCTCTCTGTGTGTTGTTGTTGTGTCGCTGGCGCCTCGCCATTTTGACTGCTCCAAGTCACCACCACCACCCCCTCCTCCTCCTTTCTCCCGCGCTTTAAACAAAATGTGATGGGGTTTTTTTTTAAAAAAAACGTTAATTTAACAAATAAAACGTTTGATCACCCCCCACCCACCACCACAACAACAATTAAATTAATTTTCCTAGTTTTTTTTTTCCCTCAGCCGATTCAAGTGGATGGAGGGGCCCTCCTAGAACAAAACGCGCGAAATTTCTCCCCCCCCCCCCCCCAACACGACAAATCAAACCAACACCGCAATTATCACGCGGGGGTGGGTTTGTGTTACAACATCAGCATCCAAATCGATAATAAAATATTTTAGAGATTATTTAAAAGGGGGGGGGGGGGGGGAGGGAGGGGATGGTTGTGTGTTTGTATTTTACCTCAGCCGTACAATGCGCGCCAAATTTACCTTCCTCACGCTCACGACGATAAACAAAAACCACGCGAGGTTTTTGTTGCCCAAAAAATCTAATTAATTAAATATTTTGAAAGGTTCTTTTTATTCATTATTTTTCTTTGTGTATATATATTTTTTTAAAACCTCGGCCCGTAGTCGGTGGTCGAGCGATGGGAACAATGAGCGTCAAATTCTCCCTCACGCGAACCGACAAATTATCAACACCACCACCACCATGCGGGTTGTATCAACAACAATTAAAAATAAACAACAATTAAAATTAACAAAATATTTAAAAAATTATGTTGCCTTTTTTTTACCTCAGCCGTAGCTGAAAGCAAAAAGAACGCGCGAAAATTCCCCTCACGCACAACGCAACAATTAGCGCCGCAACACCACGTGGGCAATGTTACAACAATTAAAAAATAAACAATTAAACAGAAACATCTTTTAAAAAAATTAGTTTTAGTTTTTTACCTCAGCCGGTGCGAGAGGAACGCGCGCGCCAATTCTCCTCACGCACAACGCAACAATTCACCGCCGCCACACCACGTGCGAGGGCAATGTTAGAACAATAAAATGAAACAATAAAAAAATCAACATCTTTAAAGATTAATTGTGTTTAAAAAAATGTTTTACCTCAGCCGCAGCGTTTGAGTGGCGACGGACTCAACAATGAGCGCAAATTCTCCTCACGAACACAAAACAACCACCACAATAACTATAAAACAATAAAATTCTCACGTTTTCTTGCTGTGGCTTTCACACCTGATGATGATTGCTGCTTTGTGTTGCAGTCGAAACGTCGTGAGAATTTTATTGTTTTATATTTGTATTAGTTTATTGTATACCCCTTCTAACGTGGTGGTGACTTTACCGAAAGAACCAAGAACATCAATCCCAGCAGTCACGAAAGCTTTAAATCAAAATTTAACCACGATAACATCAATTAAAAAATCTTTTTTTTTTTAAACATTAATTTTCTTAACTGCCCCCCCCCCTCAGCCCTAATGCTTTATTTGCGGTGGCTATTCCGAGGCACAATACGCGCCAAAAAAAACCTCCCCCCCCCCCCTCATTAATTAAAAAAAAGACAAAACACGCAAACAATAGCAAGCAAACACAAACACGAGGGGCTTCTTACCAACAAACAAAACCCACAAACAACAATAACAACTTATTCAAACAACATCATCCTCACCTTCTTTGGGCTCGCGTCAACAACCGCGTCTGCCATGGTTCACCTAAAGTAAGTCGTTAGTCGACGCGTGGGTGTGTGTGTGGTGGTTTTATTTTAATAAAGCCTTTTTAAAAAAAGACGACGAATTTTTATACCCCCTTTTCTCTGTCCGTGTCCCTGAGTGTTCGCAAACCTGATCGCTTCGCTATCGCCCCCTTACGAAATTAACGCGTTTACTCGAATGCTGCTGCTGTTGCTGTTTTGGACTTGAGAATTTATTGTTTAAGTTTAAGTTTTTAAATCTTCTACGAAGACGAAGGAGGCGAGGAGATGCGGCCACAAAGACACGAGGGCGCCTTCCTTTGTAAAGAGAAGCGAATGGGCGAGCGGGAAGCAAACCAAACCCTTGGGGGAGGGGAGGAGCCCTACACCCACCAACAGGCTCCGCCTCCCCCACCCCACGGACCCTCGCAGCCAATCCCCGCACTCGCTCGAGCTCAGTCCCCGCCTACATACGCGACAAGCCCCGCCCCTTTTGCCTAATCCCCGCCCGCTTTCGGGGTTAATCTCCGCCCCTCCCACACACCCGTTCGCTTCTGTGCAATTCTTCCCGCGCTGGACCCCTCCCCACTCACACACCCAGTCCCCGCCCCCACCCGGACACTCGCGGCCAATCGTCGCACTCGCTCAAGCTCAGTCCCCGCCCACTTTAGAGCTAATCCACGCCCCTCCCCCCCCCCGCGTCCAGCTTTCATGGAATTCCCCGCGTTCCACCCCAACCCACGCCCACACTCAGTCCCCGCCCCCACCCGGACCCTGGCGGCCAATCCCCGCCCACTTCCGGCTGATCTCCGCTCACTTTCGAGCTCATCTCCCCTCCCCCCTCCGCTTCCATTCAATTTCCCGCTCCCCACACCTGCACCCAGTCCCCGCCCACACCCGGCCCCTCGCGGCCAATCCCCGCACTCGCTCAACATCAATCCCCGCCCACTTCCGACGAATCCCCCGCCCTCTTTTCAGGCTAATCCCCGCCCCCCCCGTTTCCAAGCAATTCCCGCGCTCCTGAACCCCCCCCAGTCCCCGCCCACCTTCAGCCCTCACAACCAATCACCGCACTCGCTCACACTCAATCCCCGCCCCATTTCCATGCAATCTCCCGCCCCCTTCTGTCTAATCCCCGCCCCCTGCCATTTGTATAACGCGCGCGCGGGCGACAGAATAAATTGTGTTAAAGTTAAGGGAAACCAATCAGCCTCAAGGAGCGGCCTATCAATGATGTCCCCGACCGAATAAATAATGTTAATGTAAGAGAAGCCAATCAGCGTCGAGGGGCGGCCTAACAATAGGTGCGCCACAGAATAAATTATGTTAATGCTAAGATAAGCCAATCAACGTCGAGGGGCGGCCTAACAATAGTGTTCGCGAAAAAATAAATTATGTTAATGTAGAGTGAAGCCAATCAGCGTCGAGTGGCGGCCTGACAATGGGTCCGCGAGAAAATAAATTATGTTAATGCTGAGGCAAGCCAATCAGCGTCCAGATAATACTGTCCACGACAGAATAAATTAAGTTAATGTTGAGGGAAGCCTATCAGCGTCAAGGGGCTGCCTGATAATGCTGTCTGGGACAGCATTAATTATGTTAATGTTGAAAGAAGCCAATCAGCGTCTTGGGGCGACATGATAATGTTGTCCGCGACAGAATAAATTATGCTAATGCTGAGGGAAGCCAATCAGCGTCGAGTGGCGGCCGAACAATGTGGTCCGCGAAAGAATAAATTATGTTAATGTTGAGAGAAGTCTATCAGCGTCAAAGGGCGACCTGATAATCAAATCAGCGTCAAGGGACGGTGTAGCAACGGGTCCTCGACAGAATAAATTATGTTAATGCTGAGAGAAGCCAATCACCGGCCAGGAGCGGCCTGATAATACTGTCCACGACAGAATAAATTATGGTAATGTTGAGGAAAGCCAATCAGCGTCCAGGGACGGCCGAACAATGGGTTCCCGAGAAGATAAATTATGTTAACGCTGAGGCAAGCCAATCAGCGTCAAGGGGCGGTGTAGTAACGGGTCTTCGACAGAATAAATTATGTTAATGTTGAGGCAAGCCAATCAGCGTCAAGGGGCGTGTAGCAACAGGTCCTCGACAGAATAAATTATGTTAATGCTGAGAGAAGCCAATCAACGTTGAGGGGCGGCCCAACAATGCGTTCGTGAGAATATTAATTATGTTAATGATGAAGCAAAGCCAATCAGCGTCAAGGGGCGGTGTCGCAACGGGTCCTCGACAGAATAAATTATGTTAATGTTGAAGGAAGCCAATCAGGGTCGATTGGCTTTCTAACAATAGGATCCATGAAGGGAATAACTGATGTTACGAGCGTCCATGATGGACGGAATAAATTATTTTGATCTAAAGCTTCCGTGAGTGCAGGGATTCATATTCTTGGTTCTTTCGGTAAAGTCACCACCACGTAGATAGGGAAACAATAAAATAATACAAATATAAAACAATAAAATTATTATTCTTGGTTCTTTCGGTAAAGTCACCACCACGTAGATAGGGAAACAATAAAATAATAAAAATATAAAACAATAAAATTATTATTCTTGGTTCTTTCGGTAAAGTCACCACCACGTAGATAGGGAAACAATAAAATAATAAAAATATAAAACAATAAAATTATTGTAAAACAATAAAATTATTATTCTTGGTTCTTTCGGTAAAGTCACCACCACGTAGAAGGGAAACAGTAAAATAATAAAAATATAAAACAATACAATTATTATTCTTGGTTCTTTCGGTAAAGTCACCACCACCACGTAGAAGGGAAACAGTAAAATAATAAAAATATAAAACAATAAAAATTTTGTAAAACAATAAAATTATTATTCTTGGTTCTTTGGGTAAAGTCACCACGTAGAAGGGAAACAATAAAATAATAAAAAAAACAATAAAATTATTATTATTGGTTCTTTGGGTAAAGTCACCACCGCGTAGATAGGGAAACAATAAAATAATAAAAATATAAAACAATAAAATTATTGTAAAACAATAAAATTATTATTCTTGGTTCTTTCGGTAAAGTCACCACCACGTAGATAGGGAAACAATAAAATAATAAAAATATAAAACAATAAAAATATAAATCAATAAAATTATTATTCTTGGTTCTTTGGGTAAAGTCACCACCACGTAGATAGGGAAACAATAAAAAAATAGCATTGTTTTATGTATTTATTATTTTATTGTTACCCTTCTACGTGACTTTACCGAAGGAATAAATAATGGTAATGTTGAGGGAAGCCAATCAACGTTGAGGGGAGGCCCAACAATGGGATCGCAAAAAGATAAATTATGTTAATGCTGAGGCAAGCCAATCAGCGTTAAGAGGCGATGTAGCAACGGGTCCTCGGCAGAATAAATTATGTTAATGTTGAGGAAAAGCCAATCAGTGTAAAGGGGCGGTGTAGCAACAGGTCCTCGACAGAATAAATTATGTTAATGCTGAGAGAAGCCTATCAGCGTCAAGGGGCGACTTGATAATGCTGTCTGGGACAGAATATATTATGTTAATGTTGAAGGAAGCCAATCATCGTCTTGGGGCGACCTGATGTTGTCCGCAAAAGAATAAATTATGTTAATGTTGAGGTAAACCAATCAGCGTCGAGTGGCGGCCGAACAATGTGGTCCGCAGAAAGAATAAATTATGTTAATGTTGAGGGAAGCCAATCAGCGTCGAGTGGCGGCCGAACAATGCTGTCCGCGACCGCATAAATTATGTTAATGTTGGAGGCACGCCAATCAGTGTCAGGGGGCGCTGTAGCAAACGGAGTCGGTGGCAGAATAATATAAAAAAATCTCGAAATTGAAGCTTTGGTCACCGCAGGAGTTCACAATCTGCGGGGTTTCTTAAAAAAGAGTTTTCATTTTTTTTTAAACGACGGCTTTATTCACAAATTCGGTGAGTGAGGGTGCCCCGTAACTCCGTTCACACGGAGCAGGCGTGTCGCCTGAGACACGTGACGCCTAAGACATGTGTCGCCTCAGACACGTGACGCCCCAGACACGTGACGCCCGAGACACGTGACGCCTGAGACACGTGACGCCCTCACGTGTCGCCTCAGACACGTGACGCCTGAGACACGTGCCGCCTCAGACACGTGACGCCTAAGACACGTGTCGCCTCAGACACGTGACGCCCCAGACACGTGACGCCCGAGACACGTGCCGCCCGAGACACGTGCCGCCCGAGACACGTGCCGCCCGAGACACGTGACGCCTCAGACACGTGACGCCCCAGACACGTGACGCCCCAGACACGTGTCGCCTCAGACACGTGACGCCCCAGACACGTGACGCCCTCACGTGACGCCCTCACGTGACGCCTCAGGCACGTGACGCCTCAGACACGTGACGCCTCAGACACGTGACGCCCCAGACACGTGACGCCTCAGGCACGTGACGCCCCAGGCACGTGACGCCCCAAGACACGTGACGCCTCAGACACGTGACGCCCCAGACACGTGCCGCCCCAGACACGTGCCGCCCCAGACACGTGACGCCCCAGACACGTGCCGCCCCAGACACGTGCCGCCCCAGACACGTGTCGCCCGAGACACGTGACGCCCCAGACACGTGTCGCTCGAGACACGTGACGCTCGAGACACGTGACGCCCCAGACACGTGTCGCCTCAGACACGTGACGCCTCAGACACGTGACGCCTCAGACACGTGCCTCCCCAGACACGTGACGCCCCAGACACGTGTCTCGGGCGACACGTGACGCCCCAGACACGTGACGCCCCAGACACGTGTCGCCTCAGACACGTGACGCCTCAAACACGTGACGCCTCAGACACGTGCCTCCCCAGACACGTGACGCCCCAGACACGTGTCTCGGGCGACACGTGACGCCCCAGACACGTGCCGCCCGAGACACGTGTCGCCTCAGACACGTGCCGCCCGAGACACGTGTCGCCTCAGATACGTGCCGCCCCAGACACGTGACGCCTCAGACACGTGACGCCTCAGACACGTGTCGCCCCTGACACGTGCCGCCCGAGACACGTGACGCCCGAGACACGTGACGCCCGAGACACGTGCTGCCCCAGACACGTGATGCCCCAAGACACGTGACGCCCCAGACACGTGCCGCCCGAGACACGTGACGCCCCAGACACGTGTCTCGGGCGACACGTGACGCCCCAGACACGTGACGCCTCAGACGCGTGACGCCCGAGACACGTGACGCCCCAGACACGTGACGCCTGCTTCAAGAGCCGAATGGCTCACAAGGCTATCTTCTCCTCCACGTATATATAAAAAAAGGCAGTGATCATGTAGTGTGTCTGTTCAAAGTGTTTAGCCTACTTCCCGACATGCAACAGACTTGAAA